CCCTTAGCGGGGGTGGCATTCACCCTTACTTTTTCAAATGGGAAGGGGTATGTTGTGATACATCTTTTGAGAGGGCATCAAATTTTCTTTAAAATGGCGCTTCGTTATTTAAATTTGAGCTAGGCGTCGCCGAGCAATGGAATTTCTAACATTTTACTGCATCTCTTATTTACAAATAGGTTCGTGAACAAAAAATCGTTTTTAAACTAACAATAATATCAGTCGACAATTCAACTTTATCTTCGGTGAAGTAGTTGATGTGGATAGTTCAATATTTCTGTGATTTTCTTTGGTGTACATTCGATAAAAAATGGTTTCTTCTATTGCGGAGAGAGTGGAAATTATTGAATTGTATTTTATTAACAATCAATGTGCAAGAGTAACGGCAACTTTGTTCAATGAGAGGCATGCAGAAAGAAACGTGCATTATGGTTACGAACTAGTAGCAAAATTCCGGCAAACTGGTTCAGTGACAAACAGAAAACGGGATATTGAAAATCCGGTGAGAAATGAGGCAGTAGAAGTAGCTGTTCTGGGTCAAGTTACTATGGACCCTAGATTGAGTACCAGAAAACTTTCTGATGTAACAGGTGTTTCTCGGACCACTGTACAGAGAATTCTGAAACATAATAAATGGTACCCATATAAAATTCAACTTCTTCACGAATTGAATGAAGATGATAATGACCGCCGTTTACAATTTTGTGAAATAATGTCCGAAATAATTACACATCTTCCCAACTACCTTTTTAATGTTTGCTTCTCAGACGAATGTTCATTTTTTCTCAATGGCACTGTTAATCGACATAACTGTCGTTATTGGTCCGACACGAATCCAAGGCTTTACCATGAGGCTCATACTCAACATCCTCAAAAATTAAACATTTGGGCTGGTATTTTTGGTGATCACATTATTGGGCCATATTTCATACAGGGAAATTTGGATGGAGATACTTACTTAGACTTGCTGGAGCATGCCGTCAACCCAGCACTTATCGAAATTATGGAAAACGATCAACGTTATCATGAAGTAAATCCGATATTTCAGCAAGATGGGGCTCCTCCCCATTATGCATTAGCTGTACGGGAGTTTTTGAACGAAAACTTTCCTGAATGGATTGGAAGGAGGGGTGCAATCGAATGGCCCGCGCGATCACCCGATTTATCTCCCCTTGATTTCTTTTTGTGGGGACATCTAAAATCGAAAATTTACGCCACCCAGCCTGAATCCTTAGAAGATTTACGGAACCGCATTACCAATGAATGTCGACTAATTACACCTGATATTCTTCACAATGTTCGAGCACACTTTGTACAGTTGCTGTACTATTGTATGGAGGTGAACGGCGGACATTTTGAACAGTGAATAAGGTAACACGTAACTACTAATCAATATTAATTTGATTAAATTTCTCGGCAACCCATATTACAAATTTCAAAAACGAAGCGCCATTTTAAAGAAAATTTGATGCCCTCTCAAAAGATGTATCACAACATACCCCTTCCCATTTGAAAAAATAAGGGTGAATGCCACCCCCGCTAAGGGGTTGAAGTTACTGTGATGTAATCAATGTGTAAATATGTCCCCCTGAAAACAAAATTATACGGGTCCGAGGATTTTTTTAAATTTTCACATACAAAGCCCAAAATCTTGCTGGACTGTTTCCGATGGGCCACCCTGTATATAATAAATATAATACAAAAACAATACACAAAAGGCAACATTCGCTGAGGCGTTCTTCCATGATGCCCTGTCTCTTTGAACACTTTCATACTAAACAGATTCCAGTAATTGACTTTTATAAACCTTTTTAAAAATCACAAACTGGTCAGAGCGTTTTTGATTGGTGCACATCGTCAACAGCCAGTTTTTTGACTATTTTCAACAAATTAAATTCGCTCTGACTAGTTTGTGATTTCTTTGATGACAGACTTAAAGTATGACAATGTTGTAGATCATAAAAATGAAAACATGAATCTTGAAACCTCTCTCGAATCTGACTTGCCAAAAGAAGACACAGAATTTCTTCAGGGTTTAGCAATTGCGATTCGCTACAATTAAGAGATTATTCAGGGCTCAATTTTAATTTGGTTCTTTTCAGAGAAGCAGGGACGTTTGTCGATCAAGTATCAAGAGCAATGGGAATGTTCCTAAGAAAGACACAAAAGAAAAAGTCAGGAATCCAAGGCAATAAGAACTTGAAGAGAGAAAGTAGAATAAATACTAGGCAGGGCGAGAAGCAGAGGCGATGGCACATCTGAATCAGAATCAGGAATAAGTTAGTTAAGTGAAACCCTAACTGAAGATGTCTCTGATACAGAAGAACATCCTAGTGAAATCAAAGAAATATGCATTATTTTAGATGCATACTTATGCAGTGTAGACACGCGATGGTATCTAGGGCTCAACAACTATTTATACCTAAACAAAATCGCTGTGGGTTAGTTTTGGTTAGTAAATGAAAATAATGAATGAAAATAAAAGTTGCTAACTTTTGGAAGAGTTGCAAATACAGAAGTTGCCAAATTTTCAGTGGAAACGTATTTTTATAAGAGAAAAGGCTGTTTGTTTTGGTCATATCAATGCGAAGCTTAACAATTAAACATAGTTTTCATAATAAAATCAGCTGGAAATCGAATGATTGTAGGAAATCATCGAGGAAATCAGGTAAATAAATGGGAATGATAAAGGAATCCCCAGAAAAAATGGAAATCACCTGGTAATCATACAAAAATATGATGGAAATCATTGTACATTGGTGAGCATAGTGGCTGACCCTCGCTAATTTCATAAATTATTATGGTGAAAGAATCACATGTTCAAAATTTCGGACTGGCCATAATATGACTGAACAAATATGTCGGACAATCTTACCACCAAATTTCAAAATTATTTTTCTCTAGCATTGGCAATCACTTCAGTAGTTGTCATGTCAACATATTTCGTGAAATAGGCATGTTCCAATATTAATATCGCGAAAACACCCCCTGATTTTCCGCAAATAAAAAAGGTTGTAGGAGAATGACGCCCTTTTCTCGCTATCGGCGATACCGTAGTCAACAACAATAATACCTAAACGGCCAACCCATTTTCTAAAGGACGAAATAACGAGCCATGAAAGGAAGAAACCTTGGTGTCCGATTTGGAGTGAACTTCGCCTCATTTATGCCTATGTTTAAACCTGTATGTGCGCATTATGCATAGTGCAGGAACTTTTATGCGGTACATGAACATGAGTCAATGAGTATTTTATTTGTATTAATGTAAAGGTTGGAATTGTTGTTTTTGGTGCATATTTACATCATCCTGTACTATTTTTGCTGTAATTGTAAATTGTATCAAAATGGGTCATTAGATGTTTTTGTATTTATACAGGTCCTAAAGTAAATGTTTAACACCCCCGACATGGGAATAAGATCTCTCTTTTTGTCTAAGGTAATTTTAGGTGGGGTTAGATTTTGACTGTTGGTTTAAATATTGATGCTATAAGCTTCGCACGTGATTGTTTATAGATCTCCTGCACGTTTCATATTATAAAAATAAACACTATATACATAGTCTGTAACTTAATACGGTCTTGTAGCCACCCCCATCTCTAACGCAAACATATTTTTTTAATCCTGTTTGGTGTTTTTACTTTTTGAACATTCTTGATTGAGTGTTCTCCTACACTTGTATTGGCGTAATTATTTAATACGAACATCTTTCCTCATCTTAATAATACTCAAGCCTATTGCGTGAAATCGTTTTCTGGTACTCATACACTTACCAAACAACCTCTCCTGTTTACACATGTTCAATTAATTGCCTCTAATAGGTTCTGTCAACGCAAGACTTCGATAAAGTGCTTGTTAAATATCATTGAGAATTATGTTTTAGACAAAGATAAATATAGGATTGTGATGGCATTTAACTTAATGGTTTGTAGGAAACTAGTTGTATAAAAATATTCTCCTATTAATATACATGTCCAATGATTAGAAAACTTTGATGTCTTCGTAATTTCATTCAATATGTCGTTCCGCCACATGGTTGCAATGTTTTAATTATTATGGCGACTTGTTATGTGGTTGAACAAATTAGATATCATAATTGTTTCTTCTTTATGACTACGCACTACTTCGTATTTGAATGTTTTTAATAGGAAATAATTTTCAAAGGTGTTTGAGATTTCAAATAGAATGTCAGAAGCATTGAAGGGTTTTTTCTTTATTAACTTGGTCAGCTTCGTCAGGAAAACCTGATGTTGATTTTTGTTCAACTATGGCGACTTTTGACAGGTATTTTTGTGTTGAAATTTTTATATACAAATCTTGTTTTTTTTTTTTTAAACTGAAATCCTAATTTTAGTGGCGTTGTAGATGTGTGCACTCTATCAAGTCAAATTTCCCAAAAACTTCATGCGCCTAAATATTATTTTACTTTACTGGAAGCTGGAAGGCACAAATTTCACCTAGAAGTATAAATTCAATTTATCTACCATTTTCTTGGCCATGACAAAAAAATTAAATTTTGTCTCTGATGGAGTAGTTCCCGATGAGGTTACCAAATCAACAAAAATGTCCTAATTAGGTCTAACTGAAAATTATTCGAATTTTTTTTAGAGCACTCATTATCATACATTTTTTCGACCTATTATACATATAGTCTTCGCTGAGCTACCGGCGATAATACAAAACGCCAGTATACCTTCAAGCCACACCTAATTATTACTACCTATTGTTTTATTCTTTGCTGGTAGACGGTTAAAATGTGAAACTGTTGCATACAGCTGATCAAAAATAGGATTTATAGGTCAACAATTTAAGTTATTGATAAGTTAATTATGAAATGTAATACGATGCCACTCACACAAAAAAAACTATATCAAAAAGTCCTTTCACCAATTTCTTGACTAAGGTGACTTTAAATTAAGAGTACCATTGTACATTCACATTCCGAAATAGAAGTAGTATGTATTTATTTTCATGTCTCAATAAATATTTTTTAATTGTTTCAGGTCTTTCTTCACCCAATTAGGTGCTCTCACTAGGTAAGTTTTACAACTAGGTATTTAGTCAACCTTTCTTAAAATATCCACCTAACTTCTAGAATATTTTATTGAGCTTAAATTTAAGTCATAATTTTAAGGACAAGCGTACAATAACCTCATATAATTAAATAATATGTTTCTGGACAATAGTGTAGGAGTATATTTTGATTACAATTAACCTTATAAAACGGTTGTTGCTTTTTCTATATTGCTGCGTAGCTAATTTCAACTGGAACACTTAATGTGTTAATAGTTCCAATGAGGTAATACCTGAATAAACAAACACATTATTTCGTGATCTAAATATCTTGAGAAACATTTTAATTACATTGTTCTTGCGAACAGTCCGGCTACAACGTTTGTATTGTTGCGTGGTAAGTGACTTGCAAACTTGAATACATTTTAAGTATTTCAAAATCACGACAAAACTGGCACTACTACAACAATTTGAGTAAATTGAATTATAGGCTTAACTAATCGCAAAACTATAAGTGTTTGCCTTACTGTCCAATTTGAAAACTCTTCCCGCATTGAAGTCGCCAGCTGCTTATATAGCATTCATAACCTTGTCCAATTGCCTGGATAATTCCCTGCTAGAATCCTCTGATAAAACACTGATCGATAATTCGAAATAATTTGCTTAGCTTAGATTATTCCTCAAAGGCAAAATTCGTCGAATATTCGCGCACACATAAATCGATAAAAAAACACAGGTTTTGGAAAAAAAAAATTGAATGAGATGCAGTTAATTAATTTACCAGGCAATCAAGAGAACAAAGTTGCAAATCAAAAGTCAGCAATCAAAACTTAATAAGTAGCTTGTGCAATTTTTATTTCATTTTTATGCATATACAAGGTGACAATTCCAAAAGTAGCAATCGGGAATATCTCTTAGACAAAAAATACTATCAGGAAGATCTCAAATACGTACCGGGGGATTGGAGGGAGAACCAAAATGAGGCACTTAGGGGGTATAGCTACCCTAAATTTTTTGTTTTTAAATACGAATCTACCTTGTGTTGCACATCGTCGGATAGCTCGTAGTTGCTTTCCCTTTGGAGTCTTATAGCAAATCGGTGTTTAAAAGTAAGCACATTTTGAAGTCTCAAATACACATCGGGGTAACTAAATGTGTTTATTGAATAACCCCCACCCCTCTTCTCATGGGGACTAGCCGCCCCTAATAATTTTTTTTAAATGGAAACCCTGTGTGATACATCCTTTGAAAGATTTTTTATTCCTCTTCAGAGGCACGCAGGAACAGATGAAATTATGATAAACACATTACTTGGTTTCGCCGATGTGCATTCGAGACTCTTATGACAGAATTCATTTGTCTAAGAGATAGTTAAAATTACTAGTTTTCAAAATGTGCTTACTTTTGAACACCGATAGCTGAAAAACGAATGGTCCTATTTAAGATTTTGCTATAGGACTGTAAAGGGATAGCAACGAGCTATCCAACGATGTGCAACACAAGGTAGGTTCGTATTTAAGAAAAATAAGTTAGGGTAGCTAGGTACCCCCCTAAGGGATGAGGCGGGGTGACTCAAAAAGTGCCTCACTTTGGCTCTCCCTCCAATCTCCCGATACCTACGTATTTGAGATCTTCCAGATAGTATTTTTTATCCAAGAGATATTCCCGATTGCTACTTTTCAAATTGTCACCCTGTATATACACCTACTTAAAAGAAATTGAATGAGAAGTTTGTTGATGTCGCCATAAATCATACAGAGTGCGGCGTGGCTAAATTTACTTTGTCCGTATGTGGGGGATATGATCCAAAATATGGCAATACCACATGAGAGGTCTCTAGGAATGATCCCCCAAGTTTCTTGTAGGACATGTGAAATCCAGGGGTGCTCCAGCTAAAATTATCCACCAAGAAATATTTTGGCGCAGTTCTTATTGTGGCGGGATGAGCCTCCCAGGGGTTAGAGGTTTATTCAAAAATTTCAATTGAAAGTGGGAGAGGTAAGATAAAATAACAGGATATTTAAAGTCTTGTAGAGACCTTGAATAAGTAACTATCACCTACCTGCTGATAAATATAAAAAAAAAACATTCAATTCGATAAGCGGTTACTTTATGTACAGTTGATGGTGTTGACATTATATAGCTATTCTAAGGGATACCCATTAATCGTGGTGTTCGAAAATCTGTCCTGTCATCCCACGATCATCGGTCTATAAATAAAGCTTCATTGCTAGCCATGCAGTATAAGAGCAATAGCAACAACTGGGTCAGTAGTCATCCATGGCATGTTACGGCTTAAAATATCCTCGCGGGCCAAAAATGCGTTACGATTGCCATCATGCCGTCATACTTCACTGGGCGGGCCGCATCAACGAATGCAGCGAGGTGGTCGAGACGATTGCTTTATTTTCTGCTGCCTTTTTGTTAGCTAACAGTAAATATTCATTCCGATATCAAGTTTCTTTGAAATTGTGCAAAAGGCGAAATGTGAAAATATTATAGAAACGGTAATAATTGCAGTAATAGAAGAAATGATTTAGTAAACTGACCGGACCTGGCAAAACACCACATGGAATAAGAAGTGAAGAAATAAATTTTATATTGAACAATGACTATAGAAATCACATGGTAATGGCAATGATGGAATTAATTTACTACTTCATCGGTGCAAAATAGCATGGATTTAGAGTAGGGAGTACCATCCATGAACGGGCTGGATGTACTTGTGCTTTATGTAAGACAATGAAAAAACCAATTGCTAAAGAGTTAACATCTTTTTTGTTGGAGAACAATGTTATGCCAAACAGTCAGCATGGTTTCCTATCACAGAGATCAACAGTTACAAAATTGTTGTCATGTTTGAACAAATTGACCCAAGATGTAAATGGGGGACGGCCGGTTTATGTAGTCTATTTGGATTACGAGGAAGCCTTTGACAGGGTGCCTATAGGAAGACTATTGTACAAGTTGGATCGTGGTGAACTCTTGCAATGGATAGCTTGTTCTCTTCGAAACAGAACGTATGTGGTCCGTGCCAAAAACACACTTTCATCTGGTCATAATGTGCGTAGCGGTATTCCTCAAGGTTCATTGTTGGGCCATTACTGTTCATAACCTATATTAGTGATTTATTATCTAAGGTAACATCGTCTATAGCTTACTTTGCTGACGACATTAAATTGTTCGGCAACCCTATGCAACATCAGATTGAAGAAGACTAGGAGTAATACATGAATTGACTAGAAAATGGATGCTGCGCCTCAACTCCAACAAGTGTATAGTTCTTCATCTGGGGAAAAACAATCCTCATACTCGGTATCAGCTTGAAGATTCTTTGATACAAAGTGTGGAACAGCAAAAAGATCTTGGAATTTTGGTCAGTGATGATTTAAAGTGGGAACCACACATTGCAAATATTGCTAAGAAGGCAAATACACTCATTTACCCTATACAATGAGCATTCTGTAATACCTCGGTAGAAATGGTATCTAAACTTTATAAAACCTATGTTCATCCATATTTTGTTAAAGATATTGAAATCCTTGAAAGAGTCCAGAGAAGAATGACAAAAATTTCTGATGAAACCAGACACTTATCATATCCGGAGAGATTAGAAATATTTCAAATATCATCTCTAAAAGAAAGACGAGAATGTGAGGACATGATCCAGGTTTTCGAGACTCTTTCAGGCTACTATAGCCCATTAATTGAGCTCTTATTATTCCATCTCAACAAAAGAAGGGAATTGCGGGGACATTCAAAAAAAATAAATAAACAAGGAAAGGAGCCACCTGCTGATCAGAAAAAACTTTATAACAAATCGGGTGGTATATAAGTGGAACTCGCTTGAGGAAGAAACAGTGACAGCTCCAAGTGTAAACGCATTCAAGAATAGATTAGACAACAAGCTGCAGTCATTAAACAATCAATTTATTCACAACATTTAACAGTTTATCACGCACAATATCCTTTTGATAGTTAGCTATGAACATTAAAACAACCCTAATTAAAAATAGAGCAATAACATATCGGTTTTCCCGCTTTATTGCTTAAATAATGATAATATTTTTTGGTGCTCGTGGCTTCATTGTCCAACAGAATTTGGAAATATATATTATCAAAAGCACACAACAAAATTAAGAAGTGATTCAGTTTGTGGTTACAATTCAAATATGGCAACACTGGTGTGTCATATATAGATAATTTAAAATTTTATTAAACTCGTAAAATGCGTTGATAAGTACTTCCTTAACAGCTGATTTGAGCTTTGCAAATGGCAAAGATTTTATGACGGTAGGAAACACATTAAAAAATTTACCGATCAGCTCCTGGGCTTATCTGTGAACATCAAAGTACACTCGGTAAGAGTCCACGTGACAATATACTAAAATTTATTCTGATGGAAATATCCTCGGAAATATCATAATCCGAAGCTCTCTAAACGCTTGTCTGCAGTCAGCTTCTAGCTGATTTGGTTTTTTGCTCAAGAATCTTACACTTACGGGCGGAGAGAGCTGATAAGGTCAAACAAATCCAAATATGCTTTATTGCCACAAAAAATTAATCCATTGATAAAGCCATTAAGCCTTAAACCTAAAGTTTTTAAATAAAAATAGCATAGCATACATAAACGAGGTAACATAGATTTATATAGTTGAAAGTCAAACACATTAAAAATACCATACTGATTAACACTTGGTTCTTGATTAAAAACCTGATAATGTTTACAGTTATTACATTTATTATTAATTATGATTATGGAGGTATTCATTTATAGAGTAGTAAGCTTCATCAGTCAACCAATCCCTCACTTTTCTTCTAATTTTTTAAAAAATTATCAACAGATTTAAATTCTGGTGGTAGCTCACCAAGACACATTTTATATTATGCAGTAGATAAGAGGCTAATTGATCTGTAAAGCGCCCAAACAAAAATTAAGTAAATGAAAATTCCACTTGTTTCATTCCTAAACCTTTGACTAAGGTTTGAGTTTGTATTTGAAACAAATGATTTATTATATTTA